TGGGGACACGGGATATGGGAGGTGGGGACGTGGGATGTGGGAGATGGGGGCACGGGATGTAGGAGATGGGGACGTGGGGACATGGGATTTGGGAGATGGGGATGTGGGATGTGGGAGACGGGGATGTGGGGACATGGGATGTTGGAGATGGAGACACAGGGACATGGGATGTTGGAGATGGGGACGTGGGGACACAGGGACATGGGATGTGGGAGGTGGGGACACGGGATGTTGGAGATGGGGACATGGGGACATGGGATGTGGGAGATGGGAGATGGGGACACGGGATGTGGGATTTGGGAGATGGGGACGTGGGATGTGGGAGGTGGGGACATGGGATGTGGGACATGGGGACATGGGGACACAGGGATGTGAGATGTTGGAGATGGGGATGTTGGAGATGGGGACATGGGGTGTGGGAGATGGAGACGTGGGGACACAGGGACGTGAGATGTGGAGATGGGGATGTGGGAGGTGGGGACACGGGATGTGGGAGATGGAGACACGGGGACATGGGATGTTGGAGATGGGGAGATGGGGACATGGGATGTTGGAGATGGGGACGTGGGATGTGGGAGATGGGGATATGGGGACACAGGGATGTGGGATGTGGGACATGGGGACATGGGATGCGGGAGATGGAGACGTGGGGACACAGGATGTGGGACATGGGGACGTGAGAGATGGGGACGTGGGATGTGGGACACAGGATGTGGGAGATGGGGACATGGGGGCATGGGATGTTGGAGATGGGGACATGGGGACATGGGATGTGGGAGATGGGAGATGGGGACATGAGTGGACGTGGGGCTGGTGCCACCTTTGATGCTGCCCCCACGTCTCAGGGCAGAGCTTGGGCTACGGCTTCGTCAACTACGTGGAGGCGGGGGACGCCGACAAGGCCATCAGCACCCTCAACGGCCTCAAGCTGCAGACCAAGACCATCAAGGTGCTGGGGGTCCTCAGGGTGGGGGGCACCAGGAGAAGGTGCCTTGGGGAGGGGTTGGGATGTGGGGTGGATGCTGAGGTCCTTGGGGTGTTGGGTGGGCATGGTGTCCCTCAAGGAAGGAAGGGGGCAGATCTTGGGGTCCTTTGGGGGGGTGTGGACATTAGTTGGGTGCTGGGATGGGGTCTATGGGTGGGAGGCAGGACCTGGACACCCCAAGGCTGACCCACACCCCCCCAAAAAAAAGGTGTCCTACGCCCGGCCCAGCTCGGCCTCCATCCGTGACGCCAACCTCTACGTGAGCGGCCTCCCCAAGGCCATGGGGCAGAAGGAGATGGAGCAGCTCTTCTCCCAGTACGGCCGCATCATCACCTCCCGCATCCTGGTCGACCAGGTCACAGGTACCACCGGGGGGGGGAAGGGGGGCTCCCCAAAACACCTGGGGTCCCTGGGGGGAGAGGGGGGTGTCCCCAAAAACCTGGGGTCCAAGA